CTGGATCAGCTGCCACCGTGGCCATGACGCCCCGCCCCCCGGTGCGGGGAGTCTCCCTCTGACGTTCGCCTCTGTTTTCGTCGCCACTCCTCTCTCTACGGCCCATCACGTCTACCGCTTTTGACTTTCTTCTCCTCTTTACCATCAACGCGTCTCCTTACATCTGTCCTGGTGCAGTCATCGGGAGGGTTACCCCTTCATGCAAACTGCACCTATTCTCAAGAAGAAGAAGAGTGAAATACACAACCTGTTGCTGGATCATTTCTTAGAGCAAGGTAAGATAGACTCTGAAACTCATGAAACTTACTATATTGCAGATAAAACTGATTTGGCGACGATGAAACTCAAACTAGAGCTGGCCAAGATTGAACGTGAGCAGCAAAGGGAAGCCCTCGAACAACAAAGAGAAGCAGCTGCCATACGAAGGGAAGAACAAGAACGTGAGGCTGCCTTAAGAAGGGAAGAAATCGCCCTCAAAGAACGTGAAGCTGCCTTGAGGAGAGAAGAACAAGAACGTGAGGTTGCACTACTCCGTGAGCGGGAACGAGTACAACTTGAAACCAAACAACGCGAGTTGTAGATGCAACGCGAACATGACAAGCAACAAACGACTCTGGCTCTAGAGTGTCGTCAACGAGAATACACGTTGGAAACTTCACACCTCGCTCAACGCCAGCAAGCTACTGCCAATCTTCCCGTCAGTTTTAATATATCGCATGCAAGTAAGTTAATGCCATCCTTTGTAGAAGCCGAAGTTGATGTGTTTTTCACCACCTTTGAAACCCTTGCTAATCAACTCAGTTGGCCTGTCGACCAATGGGCCACACTTCTCAGAGTCCATCTTGCAGGTAGAGCTGCAGTCACACTCAGTACTCTGGCGTCTGAGAATGACTACCAGACTCTGAAACAAGCAGTGTTGGACGCCTACCTCCTCTCTACAGAAAGTTATCGAAGGAAATTCCGTGACCACCTGAAGGCAAGTACCACTACCTTCCTCGAGTTTGCTAACACAAAACGGAGATATTTTATGAAATGGCTGGAAGCAGCACATGTCTCTACTTTTACAGAACTCGTCAACCTGATGCTTGTTGAAGAATTCTTGAGGCGTGTGCCGCCTCCTGTCCGTCTCTACTTAGCAGATAAAGAAGAAACCGACTACCTGAAGTGTGCTAAGTCGGCTGACACTTACAGCCTCATCCACCGGCTGACACCCGAACCATCCTCCAGTAAGAAGTCGTGGTACAGTTACGAGAAAGTGAGCACCGATCAAGCTGGCTCGCAATTGTACTGCAAGTATTGTAGACTCTATGGACATACCATAGACAAGTGTGGTAAGTCTCAATACAAGGGAACCACTGACCCACAGAAACCCAAACCAACTCCTCCTAAGTCCGGTAAGCCTGTGATGAATGTTGGTGTTAATGTTAATGATCTTTCTCTTTTCAGTAACCACCTGTATACTGGAACTGTCTCTGCCAACGGTTCAAATCCGGAGGGACGTTTCAAATTGAAGATCTTGAGGGACACAGCGGCTCTTCAATCGATCATCTTGAAGTCGGCTGTGCCCAACATCGCCTACACCGGAGAAACTGTCTTCATCACTGACCTCACTGCTACCACTCCCTACCCTCTCGCCAGAGTCCACCTGGATTGTCCCTACGTGAACGGAGAAGTCCAAGTCGCCGTCAGGGAAAAGCCTTTTCCCATGCCTGGAGTGCAACTTCTCCTAGGCAACGACTTGGCAGTAGACCTGCAACCGACCAACCTGATCGTCATGGACAAACCCCAGGGGTGTAACTCTGTGCCAATAAACCCTATTCTAGCGTATGTTCCAGCAGAGGTTCAAGAGAGTGATGAAGTGTCTCCTCCGGTTCTCGTGACCACCCGTGCACAAGCCGCACGTCCACAGCCAGCTGACTCTACTGCTACCGCTGTCCCTCAAGACCCTCAGAAACTACCCCCGAATCTGACCAAGTTGGAGTTCCGTAAGTTGCAGAGGGAAGATCTTACCTTAACACCATTGTTTTTCCAGGCTGAGACTCAACCCGACAGTATTCCTGGGTTCTTCCTAGAGAACGACTTGCTCTACCGCAGATATAGACCCAGTAAACTGAAGGAGGAGGACGATTGGGCCAACATCGAACAACTTGTGATTCCTACCAGCCTGCGGCCCACTATTCTACACCTGGCCCACGGAGCACTCTCCCACTACGGCTTCAACAAGACTTACCATGGAATTCGTCAAGACTACTACTGGCCAGGTATGGTAAATAGCGTCAAACAGTACGTAAAACAGTGTCATACATGTCAGATGGCAGGCAAACCGAACATCTCCATTCCCAGAGCGCCACTGATTCCCATACAGGTGCCTGCGGAACCTTTCCACAGACTCATAATAGACTGTGTTGGTCCTTTACCTCGGACCAGTTCAGGTAACGCCTATATCTTAACCATCCTGTGTCCTACCACCAGATTTCCCATAGCAGTTCCAGTGAAGAACATCACGGCTGCTACGGTTGTAAAACATCTATTGAAGATCTTCACTCAATACGGATTTCCCAGGGAGATTCAGAGCGACTGTGGTACCAACTTCACCAGTGATCTCTTCAAAAGGACACTGGAGGAGTTCAACATCAAACAGGTATTGTCCAGCCCCTATCATCCTGCTTCACAGGGTTCTCTTGAACGTAGTCATCAGACTATCAAAGCACTCTTGAAAAAGTTTTGTAGTGAAACCTCTAAGGATTGGGATAAGCAAATCGACCTTATAATGTGTATTTACAGAAGTCTTCCCAATGAGTCCCTAGGAGTATCTCCTTATGAGATGCTCTACGACCGTAAGTGCCGTACTCCCCTTAAGGCTTTCAAAGACTCTCTCCGAGATGCCACCTTCAGTGAGCATCAGAATGTGCCCCAGTTTCTTCAAAACCTTCAACACATTCTAGAGAGAGTCCACCGTTTTGCCCATGATAATCTATTGAAAGCCCAGGAGAGGATGAAGACTCATTATGACCAGACCAGCAAAGTACGAAAATTTAAGCCGGGAGACTTCGTGCTTGCATACTTCCCTATCCCAGGTTCACCTTTACAAAACAGGTTTTCAGGACCCTACCGCGTCCAAGAGTGCAGAAATAACAACTACGTCATAGAGACTCCAGATAGGCGGCGGAAGACCCAGCTGTGCCACGTCAACCTCCTGAAGCAATATAATGGTACTCCTCCCACTGTCCTGATTAACTGTTCTACCTTCACAGAATCCTACATCCACAGTGAGACCTTCCCAGCTTCTCCTCCCGAAAGCACTGACAAGGAGTCGGCGCTTTCTAATTCCGAATATCCTTAATGATCTTCCCAAATACTTTCAGGATAATAATCGTGCTCCTTTGCCATATTCTAATTCCACTCTCACCTCGTCAGATAAGCCCTTCATCCTCCATGTCGACGCCAGTGGTACCGACGTTGGTGGTGTCGTGATGCAGCAACGAGGCGAGGAGAATACACCTGTCGGCGACTACTGCTACAAGGAACTACGGAACAATTGGCAAGGAGCTACTCTTCATCATCCTGAAGCTCCAGCACTTCACTCCACACCTGAAAAGTGCTTGGTCCACCATCAACACGGACCACACCACCCTACACCTCCTGCAGCACGCCTACTTCTCATCTCAACGTCTTCTACTATGGGCTTGATAACTGCAGAAATTCAACCTGGAGACACGCTATACCAAGATTCCGACAACATCTTAGCCCATGATCTCTCCAGAGTTTATGAAGTAGAAGCGACTCCATCTATTACTCCACCACATTACGACGTACTTCTTCCAGAACCGCAGGCTTCGGGGGAGAGTTGTGACGATAATCTCCTTCAAGAGATTGAGCCTGCTCTTCCCTCCAAAGTTAGTCGATACATACATCTATATAAAACTACTATGGAAGAAATATTCAACAACCACAACATCGTCTCCAAGGTTTGCCAGAGAGCAAAACGTATGCAGCCAGGAACACCTGCTCCACCTCGAACCACCAAACTACCTGTCTTGTCGCCTGCTCCTCGCTGATTGGCTGCAGGTCCAGCTGCAACTGCACTCCACCCACCATACTGCTTGATGTCTGGGGCCGCCACGACCTCAGTCCTCAGAATATCCCGTGCTTTTGACAAGTTAACACGTCTCGTTGGTAGACTAAGCCCCAGGCTTACGTGTACTAAGAGAAGTGATAGCTTGAAGCCAATATTCCTGCACCTATTTACTTTGTTTGTCATACACTGGTTATTTGCTCACTTGTCTTAATGTAACTTTTCATTTTGCCATTTGATTATTCTTATTATTTTGATTTTATTATACGAATTTGTATGTCCATTTTATTCATGTTTTGCTTTTATAACGTAATTAAAATTTCATTGTTAAAATTTACTTGTTTTGTGTGTCTTCTCCTTACCTTACCACAGACGAAGTTCCAGATTTTCTATTTTTTTTCTATGTGACGAGGCCATACCCCTAGCTTTTGAACAGCCGAACACCAACGCGTTACCGTCACAATATATATATATATATATATTATGTAGCCAGAACGCACTTCTCAGCCTATTATGCAAGGCCCGATTTGCCTAATAAGCAAAGTTTTCCTGAATTAATATATTTTCTCTAATTTTTTTTCTTATGAAATGATAAAGCTACCCATTTCATTATGTATGAGGTCATTTTTTTTTTTATTGGAGTTAAAATTAACGTAGATATATGACCGAACCTAACCAACCCTACCTAACCTATCTCTATAGGTTTGGTTAGGTTAGGTAGCCGAAAAAGTTAGGTTAGGTTAGGTAGTCGAAAAACAATTCATGAAAACTTGGCTTATTAGGCAAATCGGGCCTTGCATAGTAGGCTGAGAAGTACGTTCTGGCTACTAGGTACGACATATATATATATATATATATATTAGCTGTCTATCTTGCATATAGGCATATGATTAATGTTCATACTTTAAGAATAGAAACACAATAGTTTTCTTTTGACATTTATTGCTTGTACTGTTTGTTAGAGACAGTATACAAAACAGAATACTTGCAGCTGCTCTGGAACCCTAAAAAATTCAGAAAGCGACAGTAGACGACAGTACGCAAAAGTTTTGAAGTTGAGCATAGAACTCCACTCAGTCACTTAAAAAAAAAGTTAACCGATAAATAAAAAAAGTAAAAAAAATTATATATGTAATTATTACAAGGAATTCTTCATCCAATCAGACATACTTATCTGTTTTTGTTTTTATTAAATTACTTATATTCATTGCACCTATACAATCTTTTTATCAGTTAATCATTGCACTTGCAATACTACAAACAATAGTGCTTATCTAGACGGCACAGACAACAAATTTAAACTTCAAAATCAAAGTGACTGACTTAGGGTAAAACAGCTACGTAGGTGATTCCATACCATTCATTATCATACGTGGAAAAGTATAGAGATCATTTTATATAAAAATTCCAAATATAAGATAAATACTCGATCCAACTTTACACTTTAATTGGACAAAAACTCCACAATGTTTCAAAACACGACAGTTTATGACTATGAGGGGATTTACACATGCAAATTTTTGTTTAATTAATACCCATCTAATAAGCATGGCTGATTACAAATAATTATCAATCAAACTGAACACTGTATAGGCTTAAAAACAAATTATTTCTGTGTACAAAGGCTAAAATTAACAATATGACAATAGTAAAGATACCCCCAAATATGGTCAATATTTTTACCACAAATATTGTCGTACTTTACATAACAAAAATTATTTGAGCCATGTTTGACAAAAATACTTTCATACCTCTAAAGCAAATATGAAATAAAATAAAAAAAATCTCCCACCATTTCACACAAAGGTAAACTCTATATAAAATCTGTAGATAATGTAACATCGTCTCAAGGTGCACTGCGTATCTCGTCAAAGTCTACACTATAATTATTTCCTCCTCACCCAATGCAAGTTCCCATGATGCATATAAGGTACAGTAGAACAGTTACAATATACACAAAAATTTTACAAATGGCTTTTAGTTTTAACATTTAAAATATACGCAACATGATCCAAAAAATGGCATCTCGGTATAAATACATTTTGTGACATGACACCTTACAGTAAAAATGGGAAATATTTCTTTCTTCTGGGTTCTGGATTTGCCTGGCGACACTAGGAACTTTGTAGTAACCAAAGCAACTGTTCGCTTAGCATTTTAAGACTTTAACGAATATTTCTACTGCTATACAAATGTACAGAGCCTGGTGATTCTGAGTGGACTTTTCAGCATTTGCTTTCTGGTTGTGCCAACAACTGGAGTCATTTACTATTTATATATATATTGCTGAAAAAGCCACTCATAAGACTAAATAAAGTGGTAATAGGTAATGTACCCTATGTACAATGGCCTGAGTAGAAGCCAAGATATAACTATGTACACTATTTGGCTACTTGATGTGGCAAACATTACCTCAGGTCAATAAATGACTTGAAATGCATTCATTCATCTTGATACCAATTAAATCTAAGTTGCAATATTTCTATTAAATTTTCTAAAAAAACTCACAAAAACTATCACAAGCTATTAATATATATCTACTGAAGTCCATGACTGAATTCACTTGAATTATATCACACTACAAATGCAATCGTAAAAGGCTGCACATGGCACTTGTAAAAAACTGAAAATAAATCTTGTTTCCAGGTTTCCATTATCTGTTAAGACAAGAAATATAAATGTAAAAATTAATTGATTTTCATGCATTTCTCTCGCACAACTCATTATATATGGCTACTGTTGTGGATTATTTCAAATGCCTATATAATAAGGTTGATAATCCACAAGAAATTCACTGTTTTTTATCCTCTAGGATAAAATATAACTTCTGTCCTTTGTGTAATATAAATGACACTAGGTTTATTTTCATACATATAAAATCTTATTTCTTCAGTTTCAGAGTTCAACTTTGACAAAATTATTTGTCAAAAAGACATGAAACTTAAATACTTACTCCAAACATTTGGATGTCTTTTTTTTTTTTCAGCCTGGCCTAGAACTACACATTATTTACATATTATAAGCAACATAAATAGGGTCAAGCTGGTCTGCCAGAAAACCATCCCTAAGATGCATGCGCTGCTTCTCTCCACGTGAATTGATGGGAACCACACCTGGGTCCACAACTACAATAACGCCAACGATGATTTGGTGTTCTTCTAGGACGGATGAAGTGATGAGTGGTACAAGATCCAGAGCTTCATACTCTGCACCGTCCAACTCCACAACCACCACTAACAAGTTGGTCCAGTTGAACACTGCACATTCTGAGATCTTCTTGTGGCATCGCATCACCGTCATTTCAATATCGATGGGATGATAACGCATTCCTCGCAAAATAACAGTCTCATCTAATGCACCAACAACAAACACTGCATCATGAAGTTCTCCATCTGCTTGAACCGATTCAGTCCGGCGAAGGAAGCCAAGGTAACCCGTGCGAGCATATGTCTCTCCTGTATTACCTGTCACAAGCTGGGCATTGAAATGATCATTGGCAGTACCATCATCCCCATACACTGTAAAGTAGCCACTTGCATTATGATTACACTGAACCCATATCTCACCAAGATGAGAATCTGAGCACTGTCCCTTAGTGTCAGGATTGGCAATAACTACCTTTACTCCGGGCAGAAGTTTTCCAGACTCCATGATACATAATGAATGTGGGGCACCCCTCTCCACTAATGTTACCCTATCATGTCTGAGGGACCTGAGATCAACATACACAGTAGTTGGGTCTGGTGAAGATGCTCCTTGTAGACAGATTGTTACATTCACACGGCAGCCAAAACTTGTTGATACTGCTCGGGGAGACAAACCAAGGCCACAAAATAGCTTGGAGAAAGAATTGGTGAGTTGGACCCTAGGCCGTTCTTCTGCTACAACTACACACGTTCTTACACATGCTAGATTAACACCACGTTGCTTAAGCAGGACAATGGACGATCCTAGACCCTTTGTGCACAATTCCATGACTCCATATGAACAGAAGGTGTCACGCACTTTGTACTGAGAGACAGCCGATAGCCATAAGGAGGGATTTAGCTCAACCTGAAATAAAGATGTGAAAGTTTCTTATAAACAAATAATGAGTATTTTGTTAATTTTAATTACATGCAGCATGTAAAATAAAAATAAGTCATAAAATGCCAATCAATCTATATATCTGTATCTATATCTCTATCTATATATGTATATCTATCTCTATATCTCTCTCTCTATATCCCTCTATACCTCTATATTTATATATTATATATATACGGACCGAAACGTCGTCGTCCCTTCAATTTCTAGTGTGTGGTCTGGTCAACATACTTCAGCCACGTTATTGTGACTCATCGCCTGCATATATATATATATATATATATATATATATATATATATATATATATATATATATATATATATATATATATATATATATATATATATATATATATATATATATATATATATATATATATATATATATATATATATATATATTATATACAGTATATAATTTTTTTTTTTTCTCCACTATCTTTCACTATCTCTCTTTCACTCTCTCTCACTATCCCTTACATTATGCCTGTTACCCTTTTTTGTATGTGTGTACTGTTTTTAACTTTTTAGTATTACTTTTATTTCCTTAGAGAAGCACTTTACTAATTCATAGACATGGATATGTTGTTTCAGTTTATGAATTAACTTCTTCACTAATAAAATATATCTCCCTACTACATATCCGTGCAAAAAATAAATCATGACTATAAGAGGAATATAAGCCATATTCTTACCTCACCAGGAGGAATGAGAATGGACTGATGCCCAGAATATACAGATGAGAGGACCCATAGTGCCAGACCAAGACCACAGTATGGATCTAAGCACAGTGCCACCACTCTTGATGGGTAGAGTTCACAAGCAACCTGATAACAAAATATATGGTTAAACTTAGCTCAGGTGATTTGTGTGGAAATAGGTTGGAAATCACTTTATGTATCAATAACTTTTGACATAGTAACTGCATGATAATTATTAAATGGTATAGATGTGTTCTAGGGAGGATTCTGTTTTCACCGGCAGCAGCAACTTATCCATGAAGTATAACTGGAGAGTGTTTCGGGAGTTCTTCTACTCCCCGAGATCGGCCTGAGGCCAGGCTTGATATATTTAAGGTGGCCACAACAGGACATTACCAAGTGAGATACTGCAGCTGGCACATCTTCATACACATCTAGTTGCTGTTATTGGTGAAACATGGTATATACAGTTCAGCATCATTATAGAACTACTCTATAGCAGCAGTACACCAATACCCTAATATGGTATTTGACATCAACTTTACAGTGCATGTTACGTCACACGTTAGCGGTACTGTCACAGGGTTTTCCAGTACCAGACCAGTCATCAGACATTTAAGTGCTTGAGGTTATCTTCTTGAGGTTATCTTGAGATGATTTCGGGGCTTTTAGTGTCCCCACGGCCCGGTCCTCGACCAGGCCTCCACCCCCAGGAAGCAGCCCGTGACAGCTGACTAACACCCAGGTATCTATTTTACTGCTAGGTAACAGGGGCATAGGGTGAAAGAAACTCTGCCCATTGTTTCTCGCCGGCACCTGGGATCGAACCCAGGACCACAGAATCACAAGTCCAGAGTGCTGTCCGCTCGGCCGACCGGCTTCCCCAGTGAAAACAGCAGTTCACTGCTGCCAGTGAAAAAGAAACAGCGTTGAATGTAAGGAAACACCATTTTCTGGGGGGAGCCCCTACGGCTCCCCGGAGCTTACTAGGCTGATATGCTAATGTCAGACTTTGGCATCAGTCATGTGTATGGAGTTCTTATGGGCCTACCGGGGACCATGAGCCAGAACCTGGCCCCCCTCTAGAGAGGCAAGGGGTGCAATGGCCTATAGAAACCCCCGTGTAATTGGAAGCATTCTATGTCTGCCATTGACCGGGTTAGGCACCTAGAAAGGTAGGCGTCCCAAAACAAACCCCTATTCTGGTGAAAATTGCAACCAAAAGCCGAACGAATGGATAGAACTCCCCAAACAAAAACGAGCAAACTAGTATGACGTCACCCGTTGTCGCGCCGCTGTCTGCGCAGCCCCCTCCCCGGGAAGGGGTAAGGGGTAGCCCCAGACCTACTGCGCCTAACCCATTCTACCCCATTCTATGTCTGCCATCGACCTAACCCAGTCGATGGCAGACAGAATGCTTCCAATTACACGGAGGTTTCTATAGGCCACTGCTCCCCTTACCTCTCTAGAGGGGGCCAGGTTCTGATTCATGGTCCCCGGTAGGCCCATAAGAACTCCATACACATGACTGATGCCAAAGTCTGACATTAGCATATCAGCCTATTAAGCTCCGGGAAGCCGTAGGGGCTCCCCCCAGAAAAAGACTTATCTACAAATTTAAAGAGGTTTTAACACTTTAGTGCGCGCGGCACTAGCTGGAAAAAAAAGCGGGTTGTGCGCGTGGCGTTCTGGGCGCTCAAGCGTAAACACAAAAAAGTTTATAATCTTTTCACGCTCCTAACATCAATTCTCGAGCTACGTTTTTCATTTTGGTATCAATGCGTTGGCAATAAAATTCTCTACAAGATCACATGCATAAAATGTCACCCAAGCATTTGGTATCCCACCACGAAGTAAATAAACACGAAGATGACTCGCCGTGACACCCAAACAGGAAGTAAATGTTCATACTCTTTCGTTTGTTGCCAGCCTCACACTCATCCTACAGTGCTTATTTTGATATCACTGAACTCGCAATAAAATTCCCCACCCAGACATATGCCTATCAATGTCTAATTATGTTCCGCACGAGTGTGGGAACTGGGCGAAGCGTTAGCCGTGATTTCAGCAGCGACGACACTGTTGTGATGCAGCGCTTTGAAAGTTTATACTTATTTCACTGTCATGACATTATTTCTCGAGCTACGTATTTCATTTTTATAGCAATGTGTTCGTAATAGAAAGTTCTATAAGAACATGGGTAGAATTGGCCAACAGAGCGTCAAATAAATTTGCGGCGAATAAAATCTTACGCGAATCTTACGCATGTTTTTACCTGTGAGCGTAAAAAGTTTTTACTTTGCTCATGTTTTATCAAGTTTATACTTGATTCACTCCGTTTTTTTTGTTTGTATAGTGTTCGGAATAAAATTCTCTACACAGACATATGCATATAAATGCAGAATCATTATCGCGGCCAACACAAGTGTGTGTGGAGTGCGCGATTACCATCGTTGTGACACCAATTCAATAGTCTCTCCTCTAAGTTACAATACATTGCCGTTTTCTCAAATAGGCACAGTGCCTATTAGAAAAAACAAAAATTTAATGGCAAACATATTCATACAAACCCCAAGTCGATCGAGTAGTAAATACTCAATATAACACTGTCCGTAAATTTACGTCGTGATCCGACAAGCGGTTAGGGAAACCGCCCGTAAGTCCAAGTCGAAAATCCAGGAAAGTGTTAAAGTTCAAATTTAAAATTCAAGAGCCAGTGCCAGTGATACAAGAATATCACATAACAAAAAGCTTTTGACAAACTGTTTGCACGCATTTAGAATTTAATCCCATCACAGTTGAATGTAATACAGACAGCCACGTGTTTTATGAACCCTTCGGGACTGAGACTTATTGGATAACTTGTTGTGTTCATATAAGTGATCCGTCTTCCTGAAAATCTAGGTGAAAATAATTGACAATTTCATAGTATAAATTCTACGGTATTTTGTTTATACTCGCCAATAGGAGAAGTCCTAATCCATTTGCTAACTTGATTCTTATTGTTATTTACATGGAATAGGTGATGGTGGAGATTAATGGTGAAGATGAGGTAACCTCAGATGTTGAAGCATTTGGGTCAACATGTGATAAGTCAGATGCAGGTGGTGCAATGTGAGCTTTCTCAGAAGTCTTTGCAAATGAATAATTGAGATTTGTCCATGTCAAACTCACTGCTACTCCATTCCATAAATGCCAGAATCCCTTAAAAAAATTTCCCTTTTCCTTTAATGCTTCTTCATCCTCTTCCTCTTCTTCACCATCTTCTTCATTGTGTGCTTCTGACTTTTTCTGTAACTAAATCTATAATTTCTTCATCAGTCATGTTTTGAAAGGCTTCTTCGTCATTATCTATCCACTTATCAATGTCATTTTCTACTGTTACTGCCACCAGTTCTGCTCTCAGTTCTGGGGACTTAATTCCCCTGACATTAGCGTCTCTTAATTTTTTCTTCTTGCAAACTTTCTTGACCCAAAATCCTTCAAAATCCTAAATCCCTAATTCTTAAACAGACCTGATGTAGGCCAAAGTTTTCTCCAACCATTTCTAAGTGTTGTTAGCTTTACTTCATCCCATACACTAGCAATCGTCCAGATAGCTGACTTTATTGTGTAGACTAAGTCTTTAATTGTTCCTGGATGATTAATAAATCATCTGGCAAACATCCTCTTGTAGTGGTACTTAACCATTGCACTGTGCAGAGCGCCTTGTGGTGCTAGATCGAGGGTGCGCAGAGTGCCATGTGGCGTTTTTAGGTATAGGGAATGATTTAACACTCCCGCGGGAACACGAGGTTCACATTCTGTGTTTCAGGACTCCTGTAAACAGACGCCTTGCCATTTAAAAAAAAAAATTGTGGGCAACATTCCTGGGTGAGAGCCTCAGTACTAACTGAGCAACTAAGGCTGGTGCACGCAGCATGAGCTAACAGCACTGCTGTTCAGCTTGTGACCACAGCATCGCCAAAAAAGTACAAATATACACATGTAACTGCTATTATTTAGCGATGATAGTATTACGGAAGACCCCTGACTGTAATAAACATGAGCAGGATTCTGATAATAGCAAGATTGTGGTGATAATTAGTGATGTGTGTAGTATGATGGGAGGAGTAATCTTGGTGAGGGAGGCAGGTAGCGTAGTTTGCTTTTTTTTTTTTTTTTTCAGGGATATTCCTGCGCGGGCCCTAAGCCTCTGGCTGGCCCACTAAGTGTTGCTTGTTTCTGTTTTACTTGGGCGGAGTATGAGTATTTATTACTCGTATGGTCGCTTGTAGTCTGCTGACTCTGTGTGGCAACCTGTTATTGTCTGGACTCACCATACCAGCTTAGTGATTCGCTATGGTGAACACAAATGTAGATACAGAGGAACCTCAAGTGACGAGCATCTCCATTTACGAGCATTTCAGGTAATGAGCGAGTCACTTGCGGACAATTTGTCTCTATTAACGAGCAAACCACGTGTTGTGGTTCTCACATATTCTTGGACAAATTCAATTGTACGCTTCAAGTTCATTTGAAAATAGTAAAACACAACATTTATAGTAATTACATGTACAGTACTGTATTATAATTACATTATAAAATGTCATATTGATGTTTTTCCATGGGTTGAACGGATTAATTTTATTTCCATTATTTTAAATGGGGAAATTTGTTTCGCAAGATGAGCTTGGTGCCGGAAGGGATTAAATTCGTTAACCCTTAAGCTGCTAAAGGGTCCTGAGGAAGTTTACACCCTTGTACACAAGAAAAAAAAAAATTCTAAAAAAATAAGTGCGTGTGACCTTGAATGAGTGAGGGAGCCGCCAGCTGATTGTGTGTATAGCGACGATTCTTAGTGCCTGAACTAACTATATCAGCTTAGCTGTACAGTTGTGGTGAACAAAACATATACATACTTATATATAACGTCTGTATATAGTGTCATAACACCACAAACGGTATTGTTGGGGAGAAAGTTTAGTGCGTGTGGCCTCGAGTGAGTGAGGCAGCCGCCAGCAGACTGTGTGTATAGCGACGGCTCTTAGTGCCTGAACTAACTATATCTGCTTAGCTGTACACTTGTGGTGAACAAAACATGTAGTTTCTTATATATAACGTCTGCATATTGTGAATAAAATATAAAACAGGATGATGGGAGGAAAAAGTGGGCGAGTGAGGCATTGTTGAGGGAGAAGCAATGAGTGGTTGCTGGTGTGTAGCGGTAACTCCTCGTTGCTTTTCAACTCTCAATACTAACTTAGTGGTTCGTTATGGTGAACAAAACATGCAGATACTTATATATAACCTGTGTATAGAGTGTAATAGCAGCAAAACTATTTGTTTATTGTTTTATAAACATAATAATTGAATCACTAATATGCACACTATACTTTTGAGTATAGCGATTATTCACCACTTTTATTATATAAATATATTACACTATTGAATAATATTACTGCAAAAAAACTAAGAAAAAATCAGAGACAAATAATTAAGTGATAATATCTTTGTGGCAGCTCCCATCTGTCAGCACGGGTGACGCTGACCGGCTCTGACGACCCCTCTGTCAACGCCCACTTTTTGCCAAACTTCCTCGGTCAATTGCGCCCAAAATATGTCACCTACGATTTTTTTTATTTTTTTCCCGTGCTCAGGGAACACAAATTAACATTTTAAGAAGACGAAATAATGTTTTAGAATTTTTTTTCTTGCGCACAGGGGTGTAAATGTCCTCAAGGACCCCTGAGCAGTGGAAGGGCTAAAGATCATAGTGGCCACCCTCTACACAGCCAGACAAGTCATGCAGACAACGCCACCTCCGTCACTCAAATGGCTCCTCCCAACATAATCCTTTTGCTGTTATTACACTAATACACACATTATATATAAGTACTGTATCTTCATTTGTGTTCACCATAGAGAACCATTGAGCTGGTATGGTGAATGCAGACAGTAATAGGTAGCCACACAGTAAATGACACTATCTCCCTCCCTCCCACAGCATTACTACTCCCACACAGCACTAATTATCACAACAATCCTGCTATTATCACAATCCTGGTCATTTTTATCACAGTCAGGGGTCATCTGTAATATTGTCATCACAAACTAATAGCAGTTACATATTTATTTTGACATTTTTAGGCGATACTGTGGTCACAAGCTGAACAGCAATGCTGTTAGCTCATGCTGAGTGAGCCAGCCTTGGTTGCTCCAACCGTACTGTGGCCCTCACACCAGAGAATATTGCCCACAATTTTTTTTAAACATTGCGTCTATTTACAAGAGCCCTGAGGAAGCTGATGTGAACCCCGTGTAGCCGCGGGCCATTTGAATCGTTCCTGGCATCCTATGGCGTATATATATGCCATGCGCATTGCGAGACACGTTACTCATGACGTATATATACGCCATGCGCAGTTTAAGGGTTAATCGTGGCTCCACTGTACAGTACTTATATATAACATGTGTAAATAATGTAATAACAGCAAAAGGTGTATGTTGGGAGGAGCCATTTTGGTGATGGAGGTAGCGTCGTCTGCTGGCTGGGGTGTGATTTGTGATGCTGTGCAGGGTGGCCACTATGCTGTTTGGACACCATACCAGCTTAGTTGTACAGTTATGGTGAACAAACATGTAGATATCTATATATAGCATGTGTGTATATAGTGTAATAACAGTAGAAACACTGGTGGGAGAAACACAATTGGAGTCAAAGCACTGACTCCAATTCACTAAATGTAATTGTTCAGCTTGCTAGTCACATAATGACTGGAGGTTTCCCTAGGTTCCAATTGCCACTAACATCAACAATCAATCTTCTTCCCAATAACAGATGTCATAGGAATTAGAGCCCAATGTAGTGACACTTAACACGCAGTCATATTTCTAATTTTATGTCTCCTTCGATTTTCAACTGGATTTCAATGAGTTGAACAGACCACTGTGAGTGAAGTCTTCCAAAGTGCTGCTCACTATCTCAAGGTCATCTAGGAGAGGGTTTAACCCAGCTGGTATGTTTGAAGGTGAGGCATGTGGTGGGTAAGGAAAAAAGTGGAATCACATGGCTTATACTCATTTCTGCATTTTCCAGCAAACTAATTCCTTAACAGGTGCACATTATAATAGTGTTTTGATGGTTACATCTAATACGGTAGTAATTTCCAATTTCATCCGAGACGGTAATGTAGCATCAGTGGTGGTGAAGGGGGGGGGGGTAATTACACCACCCTCTAGTTGGTCCTGTGATGGAATTAGAAGCCTACTGAACTCGGTGATCCTCCTCTGCTTTTCTGAGTTTTGAGAAGCTACATTAAATACCTCATCAATGAGGAGCAAGGAAGCAGCTTACATGGAATTTGCACTATCTTGAAGCACTGCTAATTTGGTCAGCATCACATTACTGTTGATGTAATTGGCATCAACAGTAATATCACAGTCATGGCCAGCTTTTTCTAAAGCTTTAAAGCACACTATGACAGTATTTTGCTATGTTTTAAAATGTAATAAACTTCTTTAATCTCCCCTTAGTTTAATCTCTTAAATCCCCATGTTTCTGGATGTTTTTCATACATTACTGTACATGTTTAATTAATACTTTACTAACCTTCATACTAAGACACAAAGAAGTTGCTGCCCCATGTGACATTTTGATGCCTGCCAACATTCCTGTGGTGGAAACACTGAAATCCAAATAGGCAATCATCTCCGGTGTAGGAGCCTTATATATAGAGGGCAGGCGTTTCTTTGGTAGGTCATCTGTGTCTAGAATTGGTGGCCACTTCTTACCACTGTCAAACTTTTCTTCCTGTAAAATTAAACAGCAAATTAAAATACTCTACAAATATAAATATATCCATATACAATAAATATATCCATATATATATATATATATATATATATATATATATATATATATATATATATATATATATATATATATATATATATATATATATATATATATATATATATATATATATATATATATATATATATATATATATATATATATATATATATATATATATATATATATATATATATATATATATATATATATATATATATATATATATGTCGTACCTAGTAGCCAGAACTCACTTCTGAGCCTACTATGCAAGGCCCGATTTGCCTAATAAGCCAAGTTTTCATGAATTAATTGCTTTTCGACTACCTAACCTACCTAACCTAACCTAACCTAACTTTTTCGGCTACCTAACCTAACCTAACCTATAAAGATAGGTTAGGTTAGGTTAGGTAGGGTTGGTTAGGTTCGGTCATATATCTACGTTAATTTTAACTCCAATAAAAAAAAATTGACCTCTTACATAATGAAATAGGTTGCTTTATCATTGCATAAGAAAAAAATTAGAGAAAATATATTAATTCATGAAAACTTGGCTTATTAGGCAAATTGGGCCTTGCATTGTAGGCTGAAAAGTGAGTTCTGGCTACTAGGTACGACATATATATATATATATATATATATATATATATATATATATATATATATATATATATATATGTCGTACCTAGTAGCCAGAACTCACTTTTCAGCCTACTATTCAAGGCCCGATTTGCCTATTAAGCCAAGTTTTCCTGAATTAATATATTTACTATAATTTTTTTCTTATGAAATGATAAAGCAACCCTTTTCTCTATGTATGAGGTCAACTTTTTTTTATTGGAGTTAAAATTAACGTAGATATATGACCGAACCTAACCAACCCTACCTAACCTAACCTAACCTATATTTATAGGTAAGGTTAGGTTAGGTAGCCAAAAAAAGCTAGGTTAGGTTAGGTTAGGTAGGTTAGGTAGACGAAAAAACATTAATTTATGAAAACTTGGCTTTTTAGGCAAATCGGGCCTTGAATAGTAGGCTGAGAAGTGCGTTCTGGCTATTAGGTACGACATATATATATATATATATATATATATATATAAATATAAATATAATATATATATATATATATATATATATATATATATATATGTCGTACCTAGTAGCCAGAACTCACTTCTCAGCCTACTATGCAAGGCCCGATTTGCCTAATAAGCCAAGTTTTCATGAATTAATGTTTTTTCGTCTACCTAACCTAACCTAACCTAGCTTTTTTTGGCTACCTAACCTAACCTTACCTATATATATAGGTTAGGTTAGGTTAGGTAGGGTTGGTTAGGTTCGGTCATATATCTACGTTAATTTTAACTCCAATAAAAAAAATTGACCTCATACATTGTGAAAAGGGTAGCTTTATCATTTCATAAGAAAAAAATTATAGTAAATAAATTAATTCAGGAAAACTTGGCTTATTAGGCAAATCGGGCCTTGAATAGTAGGTTGAGAAGTGAGTTCTGGCTACTAGGTACGACATATATATATATATATATATATATATATATATAAATATAAATATAAAATATATATATATATATATATATATATATATATATATATATATATATATATATATATACAGTGGTACCTCGCATAACGAATTTAATCCGTTCCATGTTCGTCATGTGAAACTGACGTCATACAAAATGAGTGTCCCCCATATAACCAGTGTGATGCACTGTGTTTATTGTGAAATTCCCCCAGTGTGCATGACATCAAATGTTCCCCAAAATATAATTTTTCTTTGCAAAATGATAAATTACCGTCCCTGAACATGTCTATGTAAAAATAATTACCAAATTCCACCTACTTTGGCTGTGAGGGAGTCGACAAGGTGCGCTGTAACGTCATCAGGGCCTGGTCGCCCGTGTGTTAAGCTCCCAGACACGGTCGCGCAGGCCATTCAAGCACCGCGTGTTGCCACAAATATATTTTCAAATATTTTTTCTATGCATTTCCAATGCGGTTTTATTTGTTTCTTTTATCGTATATGATGCATATTTGTGACCTTTACAATATGTATACAGTAGAATGTTCATAATTTTCCATGAAACTGTGATACATGTGTCAGTAATGTGTCCACAATAAATATTTATTGTCACAATATTACGTGGTAAAAATTCACTAAAATTACAATATGTACAGTTTCACATACTATTTACACAGTAATACACTGTATTACACACTCAGTACTTTGGAGGTGCGTAATAGTCAATGAAGTAGTCCATGGTACACAGCGCGACTTTGCTCTCCTTGCACCAGCTACAGATAGATTTTTGTTTCCTGTTTCATCGTTCTGTGTGCTTGCAAATAACGCACTCGCGTGCACCCTTGGCTTTAGTACTTGTAGGTGGTATGTAGCCAAGCTTGTAAAGCATATGGTAGTATTGAAACGATTATAGGAAAAGCTCAATTTGTAAGGTAGTCTTGAAAAGATCGCTTTGTAAGGTCCCACACAGGAAGAGATTCAGCTAGCCTCAAAGAGTGTCCATCAGTCAGGAAGAGATTCAGCTAGCCTCAAAGAGTGTCCATCAGTCAGGAAGAGATTCAGGTATTCTTGAAAATATCAATGAACAACACCACCATGGAAGCCGCTAACACTGTTCATCTATGCTACTTGTATCAGATGCATCATCACTGAACGCAGAAAACGATTCATCTATGTATCATCTATATAAATTCGAGATGGCAAGGGTGGGGCTCAGAGCTACAACTGGATACGCTCGCTGTATCATCCTCATAGGTGCTGTATCACTGGCATCCGACCATTGTGTTAAGCCCTTATTGCGCCTAGCTTCACCAATGTTATGACCCTTATGTTCTTCAAACAATAGGGTCTGAATTGCACCGACTGAGCGCAGTCTTTCAACACCGTGTCGGACAGGTGTTTGAGAGCCAGAGGCATGTGTGCCACAAATGGTTGCTCACGCAGTACTAACCCAGCCAACCACTTGTCTTTCATATTCGTTATAGCATATTGTTCGTTCAGTGTTTGTTGGGTAGGCTGCTCCATTATGACAATCTTTCTTTGTTTCAAATGTGTTCCATTTGTTTTGTATTTGTCACTTATGTCTCAATAATGGAGCAGCCTACCCGACAAACACTGAACGAACATTTATGGCATTTGTCCATTTTTCAAATTGTTTCAACAGTTCTTTTATTTTTCGTTTTTTTTTTATTTAAGAAACATGGAGCAGCCGACCTGTAGACGACCGAACGAACCTTTTTGACATTTGTACTGGTTTTAAAAAATCTTCATTTTTTTTATTATTTACGTTTTTTGTATGTAAGAAACATGGAGCAGCCTACCTGCCGACCACCGAACGAACATTTTGCTATAAGACAAATGAAAAATAAATATTGAACACATTTGAAGAAAGGAAAATGTCATAATGGTTTATTCAGTGTATGTAAGGTAGGCTTCTCCATTATTGAGACGTAAATGACAAATACAAAACAAATGGAACACATTTGAAACAAAGAAAGATTGTTATAATGGAGCAGCCTACCTGCCGAAAACCGAATGAACCTTTTTGACATTTGTTGTATATCAGACATTTCATTTCTTTTTTCCTACAAAAACGTCAATGCTTTGCAACATCTCAGCAGTCACCCCTTTATATCCCAGTATCATTAGCATCTTTAAACAAGAACAACATAATTTATGTGCATCGTCGGAGGCGTCTAAGAATGTGCAAGAAGCAGCGCGACCCCACCATGTGGTGTTGACGTTACTCAAACCAGCGTTCGTCATATGGGACGATTTGATGCCGATCGGGCCGTTCGTTACCCAAAATGTTCGTCTTTTGGGGCGATCGTTATGCGAGGTACCACTGTATATATGATAATAATAATAATACAATATATTTATTTCATATATCTTTCATGTATATATGAAAGAATAATTTGAACACTTACCTTGCTCTTTAATAGCTTGATAACAGTCAGTGTAGATAAAATAATTGAAGATTTAGATACATCTACCACAGTTCTAACTGTGTTAACTGTTGACTGTAGATTCTGTGGGTGCGGAGGGCGGATAGTGACTGGTACAGCACCCACATATAGGCAACCATAAAAAGATGCTATTAGATCCACTCCAGGTGGATAAATAAGTGCTACGTGATCACCAGTGTTTATATGACCTTTCTCCAGTAACAGGCAGCCTACACGTTCTGCCTTTTTATGGAGCTGGGCACAAGTGAGTGACGTAGCAACTTGGCTTTTAGAGTTGAGTAGTGTTAGAATTTCATGATTTTCTGTAGTCGATGCCCGCCACTTTAGAATGTCAGCAATGAATTGAGGGTGCTGTAAAGATAAATAAAATTATACTATTGTAAATTTACAGTTTTTAATGTTAACCTGCCACATTTTTTTAATACACCATTATGCAAATGCTATTCATAAGAATCATTAAAATATTATATTCAAGAAGGAATATATATGTTGCAAATACAGATGACTGATATCGTGCTAATAGAACCTGAATCAATGGAAAGCAAGATGAACCAATGGAATCTAATCCAATTACTATTTGGATGCCATATCCAAATAAATTTGACGGACCCGGTTATCAAGATTTGTAGTACTAATACACTAAAATGTCAGGCTCTGAATATTTGAAAAGAACCTTTATAAGCAAGGCACTAGTTGGTCCTTAAAGCAAGAATCTTATGCCCCCCCCCCCCCCCCCTAGATAGGATCTGAAACAACCAAGGCAAGAAAACATTCTGCAACAGCACAGCAGCAATATTTTCAAACATCCCTATTGCATCATACTAATTCAAGGAAATGCTGAGGAGACTTAACTTACCTGGAATGACATACAGAAAGTTTATTCAAATACTGTATAATTAAAAAAACTTTCCAATTGCTATTTGGCACCTTAGGGGGTGGGACCATCAGGATATATATGTGGGATATAAGGACCATCAAGTAGAACCAGTGCCATGCATAGAAAGGTGCCAGAAACAGCTACAACCATCAGATTATAAGCATGAGGATAGAAATTTGATGAGCAAACCACATCAGAAGATGGAGAAATGACGACATTTTGGTCCCTCCTGGACCATTATCAAGTCGCATATGATAAAGACTTGATAATGGTCCAGGACAGACCAAAATGTTATAGTTTCTCCATCTTCTGATGTGTGGTTTGGTAATCATATCTCCAGCCACGCTATTATGACTCATCGTCTGCATAGAAATGTGGCTTTTGACTGACCAGGAGCACAATAATAACAGTAAAAGCAACCACTTGACAGAGAACATGGTGGACACAAGACTGAAAAAATAAAACCTATCTCAGAATAGGGCTTTACTGAATAACACTGATCTTATTCTTTATCATGAAAAAAAAAGATTGGGTTCGATATGCACAACTAAAAAATAAAACCAGAGTAACAGAACATCTAACTCACCAACACAATCACCAGTTGACATATCCAAATGTTTACAAATCCCCAAACTCAAACATCATGATGAGAGCAGGGGGACCCCTATACCAGGCTGCTAGAACATCCACCCCAGGCTCACAGAATGAAAAGATCATCTGGCCATCACAGAATGAATTCTAAGTATTCCCTTACCTAACAGCATCTAAAATTAAGATTAGGATAGGCAAGGGATGCCTAAGACTGATAAACGAAAAGATTTGAAAAACAAAATCAGCCAAGAACAACATGGCACAAAGGCAAGATTGGTGAGGGCAAGTGTTCCTCCGTGCATGGAGATAGATGCTTACAACCCAGAATAAAGTTCTGATGAGCCATCAAGAAATTACTCCCAGCTGGTACAAATTGAACTAGAACTAGCCGAGCATTGCAGCCAGGAAGGCCATTTAACAGTTAGCATGATCCTTACTTGGTGGTTTTTATAATATCATATATCTTTTAAGGGCTTTGAGTATATATAACACTGGCATGGAATATTAACCTGCATTGATTGTCCCACATCTTGTCCTGGGGGATATAAATCTTACAAAGCAATGAGTGTTAGCACTCAGAAAATTTAAGTTTTATGTTTTAAAACTAGAAAAGTACCTTTTTCATGATATCTTAATATAACAGTGCTATACAAGTAACTGCAAGTTCAATAATTTTCACTAATTGGAACACATTAATTGTGGCTTGAAACACAGTCAGTCTACTGCATAATCTGTCACACATTCTCACACTTCAGTAATAACTTTGCACAGGTTATTAGATTCATATTTATGCTTGTTTGTATTTATTTGCTGAAATTTAAAACAAGTCTCACAGTAAGACCACTGTCCACTGGGTAAATTAGTATTAAGTGAAAATTATGCATTTATGCATTTTACTTCTTTTTGAGGGAATGGTCCTGTTTCTAAACACATTTTTGGTGCAAAAACTCCTGCATAACAAATAGATGGCTCATCGTACTGGAGATATGCATGCATACATACTATGGCTACAGTATGTATACCTGAAAAATACCTGGAGAAGGTTTTGGTATTTCTTGTACTCCCTGAGCTTGACAAAACATAATACAAAAAATTGGCATCCAAGATGATGTGACTCACCCTTCTCATGCCATCTTCATTATCCATGAGCCCCATGTCCCGGCCCTGTGCACTAGCTAATCTGTTGCCTTGCACCAGGTTTCCTACCATTACACTCGCTGGTCCAACATCTGTGAAAGGAAGAAATAACCACATGCTGAAGTTGTTCATTTAACTGAAACCATCAAATATAAAATAATAATAATTATATAAACATTTTTAAAATCTTGACCTATCCATTTCATTGGTATTTATTGATGTTATTACTATATTGTAGTCAGTGAATTTACAAAAGGCACCGTCTTTTAGCAGTGACATGCTACAAAATTAATATAATTCAGAACAGTATTTCAGATTTTTAAGATTAATATATAAGCAAATAAAATTTTGCCTTAATATAAATTATGCAATACTTATATAACAAAAAAAACATTTTGCAATAATGCAGATATAATATTTTAAATGCAATGAGAAGCAAACAATGCAAGGTTATTGTCCCCCATACAGACACATGTTATTAATTAACCAGGGCAACAGATACAAACATGCTGCATAACTACTTCCAGTACCGAGATATTTAATCCTTGACATAAATTATTCTTAGTTCAAGACACCTTGACCAAAATGCTTCATCTTGTTCACAACCTTTAACAAAGATGGTGAACAAAATAAAACATTGAATAATGTGTCCTGGTCTATGCCATCCATATAAAGTCCCCAGAGGAGTGAATATGACTACATATTGCAGCTAATAATTTTTGCCAAAACCAAAGTAGCAGTCAAAGGCAATATGCACTACTGTGTATTTTTAGGTGTATATAAATATTACTAGATATTAAGATAACAATAAATATGGTATACAGAAGGATAAAAAAGCATTTTAAGCATGGAATGAAGGACTATGCTATCAGCTGTCTTGTTTAAGTAAAAGCTTACTAGAGAACAGCACAGCATGGAATCTCAATAGGCTACCGAAGGAGTGCTGGTGTAATACAGCTCTGACAAAGCTAAAAATGAATGGCTTTCTGTATTTTGGATCAGCAAAACAGACATGAAGTATTTTGTTTGTGTTGAACAGTACTGCAATGTACAACAGTGGATGGTGATTAGTTTAATCCCTGCATTCTCTAGCACCACTACTACAACTTTCCCTATGTTCAGTCAATATTGCTACTTGTCATTCAGTGCTGCTAACTAGAATGCTTTCCTTAGCATTCTTATGCAAACTTATGCAAATAATATCAGTATCATCTGTTCTGTTTACCCCAAATCTAAATTTATATAATTTCCAATGTTTTCCCAGGCCTACCTTGATCAATACCTGATCAACCAGGCTGTGACTCGTACATCAGGCTGCGAGCAGCCGCGTCCAACAGCCTGGTTGATCAGTCCAGCAACCAGGAGGCCTGGTCGACGACCGGGCCGCGGGGACGCTAAGCCCCAGAAGCACCTCAAGGTAACCCCATGGTAAGGTACCAGCTTACTCAGCATTGGCATCACCTACTTGCCTTTTACCAAGGTCTACTGCACTTTACAGTACAGTGGTACCTCGGAATGCGATTGTCCCTGTATGCGAGGTTTTCGGAAGGCGAGGTGTATTTACTCCAAAAATTTATTTGGTGTATTTACTTTGTCTCAGAAGGCGAGGGTTACTTCGGGAGGCGAGTTTGGACGCGAGTTTGTTGATACGCGTACAGCCGACCTAGCGCGTTCGTCGCCCCTCCGCCCCGCCGCCCCTCAGTTTATTATTGTCTGGCGCTCAGTGACTACCCCCACATCAATTCTTCTCGCGGATTTTCAGTGTTTTGTTGGATTTTTGGTGATTTGTCTATACAATTTGTTATTATATATCTCACCATGGGTCCCAAGAAAGCCAGTGGTAAGGATAAAGGCCAGAAAGCTCATGTGAGGATGACAATAGAGGAGAAACAAGAGATCATTCGGAAGCATGAGAACGGTACACGTGTTGTTGAACTTTGTAGGCAGTACAACAAAGCCACATCAACAATATGCACTATACTTAAGAAGAAAAATAAGATTATGGGTGCTAAACTGGCAAAAGGAGTAAGAACATTAACGGCACAAAGACCACAAATACTTGAAGAAGTGGAAAAGTTGTTATTAATTTGGATACACGACAAGGAGTTGAGGGGTGATAGTGTTTCGGAGGCCATTATTTGTGAGAAAGCCAGGGTGTTGCACGAAGACCTTCTAAAGAATACCCCTGCAACGAGTGATGCAGATAAGAAAGAGTTTAAGGCAAGCAGGGGCTGGTTTGAAAAATTTAGAAAGAGAAGTGGTATCCATAGTGTTACAAGGCATGGGGTTATGTGATGTGATTATGGAAGGGGACTCCCCTTCCAAACAGTAACTCCTCTCCTCCTCCCCCCTCCTCACCATCTTCCATACGCCTACAGCACTCGACAGCAAGGTAAGTAATAACTGGAACACAGTTTTGTAGGTTTATTTAGATGAATTAGGTAAATTAGGTATAAAAATTTAGTTTGATGTGGGGTTTTTGGGGTAGTCAGGAACGGATTAATTCATTTCCCTTTATTTCTTATGGGGAAATTAACTTCGGAATGCGAGTTTTCGGAAGGCGAGGCGTCTCCAGGAACGGATTAAACTCTTATTCTGAGGTATGCCTGTACAGTATTTCTAAAAGTATGAGTATAAATACAAGCTAATTCAACATTCAATAGCCTGTGGCATTCCCTCCATCCCCCCTTTTCAACAACAACAAAATAATTCCTCTGGGCTTCAGTAGTAGTCAGAGAAAGTTGAAAATTTCAGTATGCAGCAGGATGCTGCTTCTGAAAACTTTCCTTTTTAAGACTGTCAATAGCCTAGTTGATAGCGCTACGGCCTCACACGCATGGGGTCCGCAGTTCGAGACCTATACAGTCCAGGTGAATGGAAGTATCTACATGTTTGTTGACCAGACCACACACTAGAAAGTGAAGGGACGACGACATTTCGTCCCACAATCGACTTGAGAATGGTCCAGGACGGACCGAAATGTTGTCATCCCTTCACTTTCTAGTGTGTGGTCTGGTCAACATATTTCAGCCATGTTGTTCTGGCTCATCATCTCCATATTTACATTGTTCAAAAAGGTTCAAAGGTTTGCTACCAGACTAGTACCCGAACTGAGGGGTATGAGCTACGAGGAGAGACTACAGGAATTAAACCTCACGTCACTGGGAGACACAAGAGATAGAGGGGACATGATCACCACATACAAGATTCTCAAAGGAATTGATAGGGTAGATAAAGACAGGCTATTTACCACAAAGGGCACACGCACTAGGGAATACAGGTGGAAATTCAGTGCCCAAATGAGCCATAGAGACGTTAGAAAGATTTTTTTCAGTGTCAGAGTAGTAGACAAATGGAATGCATTATGAAGTAATGTGGTGGAGGCTGACTCCATACACAGCTTCAAGTGTAGATATGATAGAGCCCAGTAGGCTCAGGAACCTGTACATTAGTTGATTGACAATTGAGAGGCAGGACCAAAGAGCCAGAGCTCAACCCCCACAAGCACAACTAGGTAAGTACATGTTTTCTGTGGGAAGCCCCTTCGGCTCCCCGGAGCTATTCAGGTTATGTCCCTAAACTTTGGCATCAGTCAGTGTGAATGGATTTCTTGGCCTACCGGGGACCACGGCCAGAACCTGGCCCCCTCAGAGAGGCACAAGGAGCAATGGCCTATAGAAATGCACATGGGATTTGGAGCATTCTATAACTGCCATCAACTGGGATAGGCACCCAGAAAGATAATTGCCTCAAAACAAACCCCTATTCTGGTTAAAACAACTAAAATTGACCAACTAGTGGACAGAACTCCCCAAATGAAAACGAGCAAACAAGCATGATGTCACACGACCCGCGTCACATGTCTGTGCAGCTCCCCCCTCCCCAGGAGGGGGAAGGGGGAACCCCAGACCTCCACAACGGCGATCCACCCACCAGTTCTTCGGCCGATGTGATACTGGCAGGGTCGTGTGGCTCCAGCTCTAGACTCTTTGTTGTGCTGTACCTTGGGTCCAGTACTGCTCTTATGATGGCGTGCAAGCTGGGAGTAATATTCACAGGTACTCGGGCTGCATGTGCTTAGGGTTACCTTCCCTGAGTGCCCTGTAAGTACTGCTCTTGGGGCTCGGGGTTATCTTTTACAAGTCACCTTGCGGGTCTACCTCTGTTGGTCTTTTGCTGCTCAGCGATTGACCGCCCCGAGTGTTTTGGGGGGGTTTCCACACTTGTTTAACTTGGGGTAAGTGGTAGTTTTTGCACTGGTAAGGGCACGGGGTACTGCACAGCTAGTTTTCACCTAGAACAGCGGCTGGTTCTGTTCCTCCTGGGTACGTTGTCGTCTTGCAAGGTTTTTCTTTTTCTTTTTCTTTTTGCCTGGTGGGGGGGTCTGTCTTGGTGTGTCTTCCCCAGTTATACTAGGGTTTGACTTTCTGTTTTCAGTGGTACCTCCCCTCCCCTGCTTTGCCCTTGTGAGTGGACACATCCCGGGGGTTCAGCATTAGCAGTTAGTTTGGTAGCTTTTGGCACCGGTTAGCAGTACCCTGTCTGGGCTTACCCTTAGCGATACCAGTCTAGAAGCCCTAGGAAACCCAGTGGGGGCACACGGAGTCCGATGGATGCGACCCCTTGGTCCCCTCTCACCTTGTGAGAGTTTCAGGAGTTGCTCTGTCCCCTTGTCCCAGGGCGACGCACATTGTTTTTGCCTCCGTCATGCTGTCGTTGGGTCGGTGACACCTTCAACCAAGAGTCCTGTGAGCATTGTTACTTGTTTGTGACTCAATTCAGCCATTTTACTGATGACATTTTTCGGGTGCAGGTGGCTCGCACAGTGCAGGTTAGGTTAGGTTGCTGCAATGTGCTAGGTTGGTTGCTTCCCCGGATGCATTCGATTCGGTTCCTCCAGCCATAGCACCGGGATCTGACCAGTGGGCCCCTTCTCTTCCTGTTTTTTTGGCTGCCCCGGCTCTTCTTGCGAGGCCAGGGCTTTGGAGGATGACTCGCCCCCGGGGCTTGATGTAGAGGTTCCTGGGGTTGGGGAGCGGCTGACTTGGGGGGGGGGGGCTTGGACCCCCATTGAACCCCGCCTGGGTTTTCC